CAGTTGCAAAGGTGTTGTTAGAATGTCTTTGTTGCTCTGTATCTGTGACAGAAACATTCTCCTTTTGGAAATGAAATGAAATTTAACCATCTCTGCATCCTGGAAGAATATCTTTTAAATGTAACATTTCACACAGTTTTAATAGGTTTTAAAATGTTTGCTTATGTCTGTTTATGTTAATATAAACTGGCATGATTTCTTATTTAAACAATGCTATGTATTGCTTTAGCAATATTCAAAAAAGCAGGCGAAGAGCATAATAAGCTGAGCGTATGAACTAAATCCTCATCGTGGCTGGATTTATAGGTAAGAGTTGGTCAGAGGTTTCTAAGGCATCAAACCCTGATCCAACCCAATATCTTAAACATCAGTAACAAACAATGATAAAATTTATGTCATTACATAAACATATTATCATATAAGTAAAAACAAAGGAATGCTGAATAAGAAAGCATAATATAGGTAGACTGAAGGGTGCTTTTATTCTTAGGCTATCCTGTTCCTGCCCTTCCAGGGTGCTGATTCACTTCTTATTCCCATATATTATAACAAATTACTCTCTCTGGATTGCTTGGGATGAACAGGTAGAAGAAACAACTATTTTCACCATCAACAACCCCAACCTATCACTGTTCCATCTTCTATCACCACCATTCTGAAAATTGGAATTGTAGTCAGATTTCACTATAGTAGTTTTGTTACTAGAAAGACAATGTAAATACTATGAATAAATACATTTATGCATTAATTTCTAGTGGCAAAATTCCAACCTGATACCCTCAAAATATTTTGGGTTGTAATAATCATTGCCAGCTAGCATTGCCAATAATCTGCTACAGCAGGCAGTGGAATTTATAATCCAACATTTTTGGCAGGCACCATCTAAAGGAGCATTGTTCTTGGATATTTGTATGCTAGTTCTCAAGTAAAAAAGTGTTAAGAATCCTGAGAACAAAAACTAAAACAACACGTCCTTCTTATTTCATAATATGAAACTCAATTCATATTGAAAATCTCCACAATATCGCGTACCCATTACCGTATATTACATTTGTGCTTTAAATTCTTGGTCAAATGCCAGGACAGACTGAAATTCCATTAATTGTTCATATCTGTTGTGATAATCTAAAATATATAAATTATCATTATATTATTTTATAGATGTGAATTTCTTCAAAGGGAGAAGTCCAGAGATGAAATTAAACAGTATATTCAAAGTTATTGCGGATTTTTTGACATCACGGTATTCTTTTTTCATTTTTATTTTATTGAAACATTAGACTATGATTATTTAAGGAGCTACTCTTAATCCTCAGGATCTTATTTTTTTGTTGGAAAGTCTTAACTAAACTTCCTGAAAAGTATTTTTCTAGATTGTCTTTCTTCACAAAATTAAAAGTTAGAATGTTTGAGTATTGTGGGAAATTAAAGCAGCAATTAAGCTGATGCTGAGATCTGGAAAAAAAAGAGTCCAGAACAATCCTAACTGGACTACCAAAGGGAGGAAATTGCAGCTGTTCAAGACATAGTCATTTGTCAAAATATAAACTCATGGCAGATCAAAAAAAGGTTACTTGAACAAAACTATTCAATGGAGTCCTTATAACAATTTATGTACAGTATTTATAAACTGATTTCAAAGCATCAGTGCAACTTATTATCAAAAAAATAGAAGAAATAGAAACATGAATAAAATAAAAATTCTAACGTTTTGTTTTGTTCAGGGGAAGCATTTTGCAGCATCTGTCAGGAAATATTTACCTTCTGACCCAGGTACAGTAATTGAAATAGAACTCTAGGCCTTTGATTTAAATCACAAGGAATAACGTAGATATTTTGGATTATCACACTTGACCATTGGCCTCATTGCCTGGCTCTTATAGATATTGTTATCAAAAATATCTGAAGAATATGAGACTGCAAGACCATGCTAATTGCAGGAATTGATTGCAACAGATAACATTGTCTAGTTAATTTTTTTGTCAAAGCTTTGAAACATTTCAAAGTTTGCTGATTTTTATTTATTTACTTAGCATTGTGTTTATTTTAAACACCTTTCATTAAGAACTCATGATGGAGTACAATTTAACTCAAAATAATTTTCTTCTCTAATCCCATCCTATGCATAAATAGTGAATGCTGTATAAATGTCTCTGTACACATGAAAAAATGACATATAGGGAAATTGTCATGCCCCTGTCAGAGTCTGAATCCTAGGAGGAAAACGAACAGCTGACAGGGAGTGGGAGTGTGGCTCCATTGGCTGTGGAGGAGGCTGGAGAAAGGCAAAGTCTGGCTGAGCAAAGCAGGGAAGACATAGAACAAGGGAGAGGGAGTTCAGAGAAAGACCCAGGCTCACCGCCTCTTCATCCTAGGGCATACAGAGAGGAATGGAGAAGAAAGCAATGTGGGTTGCATGGCTTACGGGGGAGGAAAGGGCCTTGATTCCCTTCATTAGCCACACCTGGGAATGAAAGTTTAAAAGAACTGAATGCTGACTGCAGCAGCTTCTGGGAGCAAATGTGACTTTATCCGGTGTTATCTTTGCTTACCTTTGTTCCTGGCGCCTTCCCAACCGTGTGAGTTTTGCCATGCCTTCACATCTGGAATTCTTGCTCCTGCACTACCAAAGTAATTACCTCAGTTTGGCTTGATTGGATTTATAGTTACAGTTTGTGTTGAACATGTTTTGGACTTAATTCTCTGCAGTCAAAGGCTGTTCCTGAGAGAGTTTTTCTCCAGCCAGAAGGTAACCTGGACATTGGGGGCAAAGTTGGAGCTAATAAAAGGACTCTTATTGATTATCTGACTGTGTTATCTTTGTGCCATGCCCCGGGTCATCACAGAAATGATGATCTACAGTTTTCATTATGTTGTTGGTTTGCGCTCCAAGCTTGGCAATTTGGTCGCAAAAGTTTCATCTCCATGCAAGAAGACATCTTCAGTGCACTTTGGATAAGAACACTGAAGATGTCTTCTCGAATGGGGATAAAATATTTGCAAACAAATCGCCAAGCTCGGAGCTCAAACCAACAACATACCAACCCGAGCTACTACCATAATATTCAAAGACATTTCAGTTTTCTTTATTTACAATTTTCTGGGTCTTTTAAAAACAACATACCGTATATACTCGAGTATAAGCCGAGTTTTTCAGCACATTTTTTGTGCTGAAAAAAACCCCCTCGGCTTATACTCAAGTCAGATTCCCCTCTGAAAAAAAAAATGGTGTGGAGCTCCGGAGCTGGGCAGCCGCTTCCCTGCTTCCGTGTTTCCTTTGCAACTTTTAAGCATGGGGGTAATCGGAAGCAGAAAAGTTCTTGCATGAGGATATATTGTTTTTTCTTTTTTTAACTGTTTTTAGGGGGGGGAAAGACCCACCGCCATGTGAGAATGCTCAGACACGAAATCTATCTGACCGAAAATAAGTGTGTGTTTGTGTGTGTGGGGATTTTAACAGAGGGAAGATGTAGGGAGAAGGCAAAAGCGACGGAAGATCCTTCAGGGGAAACTGAGGGGGAGACTCACCCTTGGTCCAGATGAGCCCCCTTCCCCACCCCTAAGGAAGCAGAGGCAGCCAGCAAGGGCAGGCAAGCCCCACTTCACGGACTCCGTCCGTCCTCGCTCCCACCCACCCAAAGCGACGAAGTCCCCCAATCGCACAGCCCAGAATTGCCCTCCACTCAGGGGGCAGCAACGACGCCCGGTGTTTCCCGAGACAAGAAGCTCCGTTGTGCAATGAAAGCGCCCTGGCTCTAGGCTCGCGGGCTCAGAAAACAACGCGAGCCGAGGTCGCTTCGGCTCCGCTCAGCTTCGTTTCCTCAGCCCCAGCTGCTTTCAGTCCACTCGGGAGGAGGGGGAGGAGGTGGTGGCGGCGGCGGCTCGCATTGTTTTCTGAGCTCTAGGCTCGCGGGCTCAGAAAACAACGCGAGCCGAGGTCGCTTCGGCTCCACTCAGCTTCGTTTCCTCAGCTCCAGCTGCTTTCAGTCCTCTCGGGAGGAGGGGAAGGAGGTGGTGGCGGCGGCGGCTCGCGTTGTTTTCTGAGCTCTAGGCTCTAGGCTCGCGGGCTCAGAAAACAACGCGAACCGAGGTCGCTTCGGCTCCGCTCAGCTTCATTTCCTCAGCCCCAGCTGCTTTCAGTCCGCTCTGGAGGAGGGGGAGGAGGTGGTGGTGGCTGCGGCTCACGTTGTTTTCTGGCGATTCTGGGCTGCGCGATTGGGGGACTTCATGGCTTTGGGTGGGTGGGAGCGAGGACATTGACTTTAAGCGCTGCCAACCAAGTGTTTCACAAATACCAGTGGGACCTCCGTCCACCACCACCCCTCCCTCTTCTGCCGTGCTAGGCGTTGAACGCGGAGATTTCTGATTCCCCTTACACGCACGTGGATATGCCGCGGGGCATTTTCTTCCAAATGCCCCACGGGCAGAGAACACTGACTTTCATGATAGTGAGATCATTTCCCAAATTAATTGATTCACTAACCCAAAAGAAGATGTTGATGACAGTGGGAGGCAGGAGTCACTCTCTCCCTTGCAAGAAAAAAGCAAGAGCCATTCTTATGATCTCTCTCTCTCTCTCTCTCTCTCTCTCTCTCTCGGCGGCGGATCCCGCGTGCTGGAAAGGGCTTGACTGTATTACGGGGAGAGAGAGAGAGAGAGATCATAAGAACGGCTCTTGCTTTTTTCTCGCAAGGGAGAGAGTGACTCCTGCCTCCCACTGTCATCATCATCTTCTTCTTTTGGGTTAGTGAATCAATTAAACCTTTCATGATAGTGAGATCGTTTCCCAAATTTCCCTTAAATCAGGGAAGAAATCAGAAACAAACCTTTGGACTGAGAATAAGCCTGTTCCTATAATGCCATTTTTGTTCACTGCAGTGTGAAAAGCGTGAAAAAACACACTTCTTTTTCTTCATCTTCTTGTTCCCTATTTACTGGTCTCTTTCAAAGAGGAAATTGTGAACATCAAACTTATTCTCAACTGTCCTAGTGAAAGTTTTTATTGGTATCTATTTTTATTTTTGAAATTTACCAGTAGCTGTTGCATTTCCCACCCTAGGCTTATACTCGAGTCAATAAGTTTTCCCAGTTTTTTGTGGTAAAATTAGGTGCCTCGGCTTATATTCGGGTCGACTTATACTCGAGTATATATGGTACATTTTCTTCTCTACTATAAATCATGAAAATATGTCTACTTGACGATATCTCAGGCATTTCTTCTTAAACCCTGTGATGTTTTTGATTTCTAAAGAGGATCTAGAACCCTTTCTGAACATCTATAAGGATGAAGAGATTCGGCTGGAATCCTTCAAAACGTGGCCAAAAGATGCACATGCTGACCCAGCAATTCTGGCTAAAGTAGGTTTCTTCTATACAGGTAAGTCTCTTATTGCTCCCCCCTCCCAATAATCTTACCCTTATTTACCAATGTCTGCAAAGTGTTATTGGAGTTTGATTAAAATTTTAATATTTGTATTCAGTTCTAATTAATAATCACCTTCTCTTTCTAATTCCACATCTTAGTCTTCTTTTACTGGTTTAAA